TCCGAAAGTTTATAACAAGTCCAATGTTTTTGTGTTTGTTTTCATGAAATCTTCAAGTATGGGTACCCAAGTCCATGTTTTTGAACTCATATCATGAAATCTCAGATTTTGAATAAGAAGTTATGATTTTAGCATTCATGTTCTTTATGTTCATGTTCTTCAAGAGGAAACCCAGATTTCCAGACTTCATTTACCTAAGTGTGGTCACTGAGACCCACTCTTGCCTAGACCTCACACCTAGGCCAAACATCGTATCTTACCTTGGCCTACTTTGCATGATCACTTGCACCTTAGCCTATCTTGCATGCATATCTAGGCAGACCACTGCACGCCTAGGCCGACCATAGTACACCCTTGTCAGCACCTTGTAACACCTCGGCAGGTAGCCGCACACCTAGGTCATTTTGGCCTAGGAGACCACACCTCGGCAAAGAGGTGTGGGACCTTGGCCAAGACTTCCTAAGTTCACCCATCTAGGTCATTTTGGCCTAGATCATCCCTGTGCATCCATTCCAAGACTAGGTTGGTACCCAACATGCTTTTCCAAGAAGAAAAAGAGTATTTTGACTCCCAGCACATGTTTTACTTTGTCTTGACTTGGTTTTGGAAAGAAATGCTAGGATCTTATTTACCCATTTGAAGCTTGTTTTGAGAGTGCATTTCATACACATCTTTGAGCATCTATTCATGTCTTTTGGAAATACATTAAGTAGAATTATTATGTGATTGTAGGTCTTGGATTCTTGCCCTAATTCCCTACATCCGAAGAGCTATTGTGAGTGCTATTTTTAATAAAGCTGTGTTATAATGTTTTGATAAAGCTTTGCTTTGTTTTGTTTTGGAAAAGTATTTGATCAAGTATGAATGATTATTCCTTAGTTTTTGTATCAAGTATTATGTTTGTTTTGATGACATTCTTGAAAGGATTTCGTGCTAGGGGACGTTAAGCCTATGTAGCACATATGTTTGAAATATCTCTTTGCCATCGACGGTCATGTATGGATGGTACCACTGACGGTCTTGTACGGGTGGGTTACTTTTTGCCACTGACGGTTTTCTGGGTGGGTTGTCTAACCGATTCCAGGTCAGCCACCGACGGTCGTGAACGGGTGTGTTTCGATTCTGAGTCGGTTATTCCTTTGCTTTGTCAGGAATGTCATCATTTGTATTATGTAGATGTTATTAAACATCCCAAGAAACTTTGAAAGAATTTGATTGATGAACTTGATTCATCCCATGTTTTGTTACAAGCTATGATATTGTTTTGATAAAGATCTCGGATATCATTCATTCAAACCTTTATTACTTATATCATTCACTAAGTATCCAAGCTCACCCTCCCCTTTATATATATGTAGGTGACGAGCAAGAAGGTGGTGACGCCTAAGATGTTATTTGCAAGTTGTTTTCAGATTCATGTTTTGCTAGCATCTTGAAGATTATGCTTCTTAGTTTGTAATTCATGTCTTTTGTATATTTCGGCTTGAGAAGCCTTTTGATCAACATGTAATATGTACTTCATTTTATTTTATATCCGAGATGTAAAACCATGTTAAGATGTATGTCATTCATTTGATCTATGCACAATTCTTATGGATTACTTAGTTTTAAATTTATTACTTCCGCATATGTAGGCCCTATATGTATACTCTGTTGTTTGAATCTTTGTAAGTTGGCATTTGGTAATCTCGGATTACTGGCCATCACGGCATCATTCTACTAGGGGCAGAATGGGGTCGTGACATTTTTATTCTTTTATTTTAGTTTTTATTTTTTTGTAAAAACTACAATAAATAGCATATTTAGTGTATACTACAATAAATAGAACATAAAATATGTATATATACATGTTCTCAAGAACATAAAAAATCAAAGAGTAGTGCTACTTTAATAAAAAAGTTAGACTTATTTTTCAAGTCTAATGATATACCATTTTTTAAAAATATTTATAAATTACAAATACACACATTTTGAGATTTGCTTAAAATATATATTGCCCTCTATAAATCTGAAAATTACATCTCGTCTCTTTAAGTTTCTAATTACATAACAAATAACTCATTTTATTAATAAATCATTATTGATTAGAAACCCAATATTTGAAGTAGTGTTTACGAACTTGTGGGTTTTTTTTCCTATGTACAAAGAACATAAAATATGTTTATTTATTTATTTTTGTGTAAAAACTACAATAAATACCATATTAGAATATACTACAATAGACAGCACATAAAATATGTATATATACATTCTCTCAAGAACATAAAAAATCAAAGAGTAGTGCTACTTTAATCAAAAAGTTAGACTCATTTTTCAAGTTAATGATGTACCACTCTATTAAAATATTGATAAATTATAAATACACATCTCTTGTGATTTACTTAAAATATATATTGTCTTCTGTGATTCTAAAAATTACATCTCGCCTCTTTAAGTTTCTAATTACATAACAAATAACTCATTTTATTAATAAATCATCAAGTTAATTAATTATTTTTAATGATGTCATAAATATTTTTTAATTAACAATTCAAATAATTTTATTGTTATATAGGAGAATAATTAAAATTTTCATCTTTCTGTTAATAATGTTAAATAAATTTTTTTTGATAATGAGGTTTTTGTAATTTTCAAAATTATAAGGGACAATCTATATTTTAAGTAAACCTTAGCAGGTGTATTTGTAATTACCTTAGAATATTTAAGTCAACTTTCTTTCTAATATTTTCTATAATCATCAACCATTCATTTCTTTTACATTAGATATCACTGGGTTAAGAAAATGAGTTTATAAAATAGATTTGTATATCATTTTTCAAAATAAAAACAAGTATAGTAAGTTACCAGAAGAGGGAAGTGGTCAAAGGTGATTGCCGAAGCAAAGATGGACGGGTAAGGATGGTAGGAAACAATGAAACTTATTTTGAAAATAAGTAAAATTACAATTTTCTTATTTCCAGAAATTCTAAGAACTGTAGCTAGATTTTTTTGAAAGTGAAAACAATTAGCGCACGTGTTTTTTATTCCGATTTCAAAAAAATCTAAAGCTAAAGAAAAATAAATAAAATAAAAATTTCACCATTCAAAAAGTTGTGAAGTTAGGAAACGTGTTTTTTAAAAGTGAAAACAATTAACAAATGTGTTTTTTATTTCAATTTCAAAAAATCTAAAGCTAAAGAAAAAAAATTTTAAAAAAGAAAAACTCACCAAACGAACCCTAAAATTTACAATCCCGATTAAAAAATTTGTGAAGTTACCAAAGAACAAAAGAACAAAAAAGGGGGGGAAAAAAAATAAAGAAAAATTTGATCCCAATATGAATACAACAAATCAAGTAGCAAGAGCACATGAAAATAAATAAATACACAATAAACAGTCTAGGTGATTCAATATGGTTAGAGCTCTCTCCTCCCTCACTATAGATAATTTCCTTCCCAATAGCCAAGTTTTGAGTCCCCAATCCAAACGTTTGGAATGTGTGCAATTTTCCAATTATTCCCACGCTCTAAGTCTCTGTTCAGACTCGAAATCAATCTATCAGACATATCACCCAATTGAAGATATTTAAGGTTGGTTAGATGTTCAATGCCAGAGGGTAGCTCCTCTACCAACTCACATTTACGGATAAACAACTCTTCAAGATGAGGCATCGAGCCAGCCTCCACTTTCACCCATCTCAAGCCTTTTAATCCACCAAGGTATAATCTCACAAGTCTTTGAAATCCACAAGCCTTGAAACACAATTCTTCCCCTTCATGTGTCTGAAGAAGCTGAAGTTGAACCAAATTGGGCAAATCTTGAAGAGATTCCAGTGGATCAACATCCCTTAACTTACTCCATCGTAAAATTACTCTTACCAAGCTGTGCAATGAAGGTATCCAATGCGGTACCTTATGTAAACCTCCTTCTAGGCAGAGCATTCGAAGAAGTTGAGGTGGTGAAGAAAGAGAATCTAGATCAATGATCTCGTCTTCTCCTGTTGCACGAACGAGCAATGAGCGAAGGTTACTAAGCTTCTCAAGGGATGAGCATAACACCCTCCCATCTTCATTTCTCAGGCTTTCAATATGTAATTTCCTCAGTTGAGTCAACTTCCCTACCTCTCCTAGCAAAATGGTCCCATTATCATGGTTTGTTTCAATAGAACGAAGTTTCTGTAAGGATGACAAACTTCCTATTTTCGTCGGGGCTTTGAATCCGCGATAGCGTTTAAAACGAACTGAAGGAAACGGATATTCTATGTAGTGAAACAACAAGATATGGCGAAGTCGTTGGAGCTTGAGGATATCATCTGGCAACTCAGTGACATATGTTTGTTTAAGGTCCAATGTTTCCAGGTTTTGGAGCTTTCCAATCGACTTTGGTATTATTTTTACCTTGGTTCCCCTCAAACTTAAATACCTGAGTTGAAGTAGTTTCAAAACTTCATTTGGGAATGTCTCCAACAAGGCACCTCTCAGGTCTAGAACGGTTAGCAGCCGTAGACCATCATTTGACGATGCGAGAATGGAGAACTTGGACAGTGAATCTGTTGCATTGAACATAAGCAAAGAATGAAGTCGAGTGAAACGCTTGCTTTGTTGTGTACATTCCCAATGATTGTTGATTGATAAGCGCCGCACCTTTTCGGGCCATGCTCTGTTTTGTTCACCGGCTAGTGTCACAATGTTTTGCTCTCCCGACTTCAAAACAATAATTTCACGCCAAAGGTCATGGATGCGATATGTTGCGACCCTTCCATCTCTTCTCATCTCTGCCACTTGAACCAAGCTTCTATTGATTAGCTCATTGAGGTAGCCCTCGGCAACTTCTTCTTTCGTCATTCCTTGTTTCATTTCTATAAATCCTTCTGCCACCCATAACCGAATCAATCTCTCATGGTCAATCAAACAATCCTCTGGGAAAACACTTAGATATAGAAACCAAAACTTTAGATGGCAAGGTAAATCAATGTAACTAAGTGACAATATTTTTTTCATGCTTTGAAATTTGTCATTTCTTTATAGTTCTGCACCAAGGCTGTGGTAGATCTTATCCCACTCATTCACACTGCTCTTATCCTTCGTTGATAAAAGACCACTAATTGCCACAATTGCAAGCGGCAATCCCTCGCATCTATTCAAGATGGCTCTTGAAAGTCCTTCCAAATGTGAAGGACAAGAATTCTCCATAAATGTTTTCCTGCAAAACAATGTCCAGGACTCTTCGAGAGTCAAGGGCTGAAGATTATGGACATCGCCATGATATTCTGTACTAGCGAAAGAAGCTAAATCTGCATTTCTGGTTGTGAGCACTACTCGACTGCCACAATTGCCTCTAGGAAACACATGTCTAAAAGATTGCCACGCTTGAATATCCCATAAATCATCGAAAACAAGCACATACCTCTTCTGTTGCAGGAAAGCATTAATTATCCCTTTTAAGCTGTTGGTATCCATGTTGTCCATCCCTTGTGGGACTGGTTGCTTGATTTCTTCAAAAAGTTGTTTGATGATGCCTTTGAGGAGCACCTCAATCTTGAAGGATTCAGAAACAGTGATCCAAACATGGCTCTGGAAATGATTCTTCACAACTGCATCATCAAACACCTTTTTAACCATTGTTGTTTTGCCCAATCCGCCCATTCCTGATACGGAGAGCACCTTGAGTCCGGGGTCTTCATGCACCAACCACCAAATCAGTACCGATTTGGGTTCATCGATGCCCACAAGCTCAGATTCATCGAGTAGAAGGGCATCGCTGCGACAATCATGCCATGCTCTGTTAAAACCAGTGGCCCTTGAGCTTGAGCCTTGCTCTAACGTACCATATCTGTCATGGTACCTCTGATGTCCCTTGGAAATATCGTCGACTCTGGACTTCATTCTTTGAACTTCAGAACCAATTTGGTGACGAGCTATTAAAGTCTTAATACAGCAAGAAACCTTACGAAGAAAACCGCGAAACCCAGCGCCATGACGATGTCCGAGGCGAAGCATGAACAACTCGAGAACATCTCCAATGTCGTACGCAGCTTCTCGGACTTGCTTGACCCATACTTTGAGTTCGGGATCGTTCTCTTCCATAGCATCGGCAACTCTGAGGAAAGCCGTCATGCGCTCGAATTCATCCCTGATGTATTCGATTTCATCTCGAACTCCGGTCAACAAATTGGCCTCTTGTTGGAGGAAGGGTGCGAAGTTGGCTAGTAGATGGATCACAGCACTCTCAGCCATTTTTTTTTTAAATGTGTTTTGTTGTAGAGGAGTAGCCTTTAGTTGGTTGGGTTTGAAGGGAGGAGGAAGATGAAAAATTAATAATGGTGGTCTGAACTCTGAACCGAGTTTGTGATTAAAGGTGAGTAGTGAGTTTGAAAATTGGGGATTTGTAATGCTCAAATTTCAATTGCGATTTCAGTGATGTGAGTACGCGTTACGCGGATTGAACGATGAGAAAAGTTGTACATAATTTGAAATCTCCTTTTTCTTTCACATGAACGTGTTTCGTGACTCACATGGACCAATCATGCTTAAGGAAAAGACAAAAGAGAAGAGAACGTGTTTGGTTCACATGGACCGTTCTTGCTTAAGAAAAAAAAAAAGAAGATAGAAGGACAGAGAATGGGGGGTGGAGGACGTCCCCCACTTGTGTTGTGTGGAAGCAGCTATCAATCTCTCCCTATATAAAATAAATTAAAAAACCCGAATTTGGTCAATATTTTTTCTGTTTTAATTATATATTAGCAATTTCATCTATTTAATTTTCAAAATTTTTAATTTTAATTCATGTAGTTCAGTTGGAAACAATTGTACAATAAATTTGATTTGATAAACAAACAGATTATTTTAAAATTTGAACAATTTAAATTGTATAACACAATACTCATTTTTCTTCCTAAAGATAAACTCTGTGATTTGGTGCAATTAGGTGCATAGGAAAATTCGGATTTCATAAAAAAAGACTATGAATCATTTTTCATCCAAAACTTTAATCACTATTTTTAATTTTCTTTAATTGGCACAAATTGTAAAATTTAAGATTAAATATATTACGATTGAAATGACATGAACCAAATTGACATAATCCATAAATAATCTGCAATGCATTTAATCTAAACTACTGACACCTATTAATATGCAAACTAGTTTAATACTAAAAAAAAGTTAAATTAGTTTTTGCTCTTTTTTTTTTTTGGGAGGGGGGGAAACGAAACAAAAAAAAAAAAAAAAAATGATGTACGTACCTTGTTTGGTTGATAAAAACAAAAAAACAAAACAAAACGTTTGGTAAAAAAATGAAAATTGAAAGTTGCTCATCATTTAATGGTTCTCTTTTTTAAGATAAAAAATATTTTTTTGATATTGATTTTTGTAAAATTAATTTTTATTTAAAAAAAAAACAGTATATATATTTTGAAAATTCGATACCCCAAAATATTTTGTCTTAACTTTTGTCAAATTAATTTTTATTTTTACGAATACATTTGTGTATTTAGGCCACTCTAAATAAAAAAAAAAAATTGACCGAAACCACTAAATAATTGCTCAAACTCGAAATATTTAGCTCCATGTTTTGGTACCGAAAGTCTGATGTGTTCCATTCTATACATTTTAGCCCCACACATTTTAGCGGACAAAAAAGGATTTGACTAACTATGCGTAGACAATAACAACGAATTTGTCTTTATTTTTACGAACACATTTGTGTATTTAGGCCACTCTAAATAAAAAAAAATTGACCGAAACCACTAAATAATTGCTCAAACTCGAAGTATTTAGCTCCATGTTTTGGTATCGAAAGTTCGATGTGTTCCATTCCATACGTTTTAGCCCCACATGTTTTAGCGGACAAAAAAGGATTTGACTAACTATGCGTAGACAATGACAACGAATTTGTCTTTATTTTTACGAACACATTTGTGTATTTAGGCCACTCTAAATAATTTTTTTTTTGACCAAAACCACTAAATAATTGCTCAAATTCGAAGTATTTAGCTCCATGTTTTGGTACCGAAAGTCCGATGTGTTCCATTCCACACGTTTTAGCGAACAAAAAAGGATTTGACTAACTATGCGTAGACAATGACAACGAATTTGTCTTTATTTTTACGAACATATTTGTGTATTTAGGCCACTCTAAATAAATGTTTTTTTGACCGAAACCACTAAATAATTGCTCAAACTCGAAGTATTTAGCTCCATGTTTTGGTATCAAAAGTCCGATGTGTTCCATTCCATACATTTTAGCCCCACACGTTTTAGCAGACAAAAATGGATTTGACTAACTATGCGTAGACAATGACAACAAATTTGTCTTTATTTTTACGAACACATTTGTGTATTTAGGCCACTCTAAATAAATATTTTTTTGACCGAAACCACTAAATAATTGCTCAAACTCGAAGTATTTAGCTCCATGTTTTGGTACCGAAAGTCTGATGTGTTCCATTCCATACGTTTTAGCCCCACACGTTTTAGTGGACAAAAAGGATTTGACTAACTATGCGTAGACAATGACAACGAATTTGTCTTGAATTATATAGAGGGTTCCATTCCATACATTTTAGCCCCACACGTTTTAGTGGACAAAAAAGGATTTGACTAACTATGCGTAGACAATGACAACGAATTTGT